AGAGGGTGGCCGCCGGGTGCAAGGCATGCTGGGAAATGTAGTCGTGGCTGGGGCAGGAAGCCAAGGAGGCTAAGATGGCTGCCCGGAGCTGAGCCCGGGGAGGGAGGCAGGTTTCTCAGCCCGTGGAGGATCCTGGGGGACCCCGCGCTGTCCCGACTGCCCCATGCGGAACTGGGTTGGATGCAGGGACCTGCTGCTGCTGCCGGGGCGGGTTTGGGGGAGCTTCGGGGGGTGCTGAGTAGAACTGGTCGCCCTGATGTCCACTTGCTTTCTTCCCACAGAGTGGTGCTCGCATTAACATCTCAGAAGGGAACTGCCCTGAACGGATCATCACCCTTGCTGGACCCACCAATGCCATCTTCAAAGCATTTGCGATGATCATTGACAAACTGGAAGAGGTGCGTCTCAGCCCTGGGCCCCTCGGGCCCACGCTGCGGAGCTGTCGGTGGGCTGCAGCCCTGTCTGTAGTCATCATTTATGATGTCCCTGAAGCAAGCATGCCCTGTAACACTGCTACGCTCAGACCCAGAGCTTGCAGGGAAGTTCAGGCTGCTGGAGCATGAGTGAAAGCAGTTTTCTGCAGATAGCTTTTAGCACTGTTGGCAGCATGGGCTTTTCCTGCCCAGGATTGGGATGTTTTCTTAGCAGGGCCTGATCTTTGCTCTGCCTTGAGCAGGGTCAAGGTACAGAGAGCAGGTAGTGATACTTCCTTGGGTTGTGCTCAGCCCTGCTTAAGCAGCTGGGACCTGAGAGCCAGAGCCCTGCAGGGACTTTTCTGGGCTGAAAATATGCTGTGATCGCAAGTTGAACAGCTTAAAAGTTCAACTTGGTTGAAAGTAAGGTTGTGGCAAGCTGCCCCTGGTAGCAGGGCTTTCAAAGCCTACTGGTTTTGCTTGCCCTCATGGACTGTCCTCTGACATACCAGTTCGCCTGTGCCATGCAGTCCCCAGGCTTGGTGACTCGGCAGGCAGCAAGGGCTTGGCTCTGTCCCCTGCCCATTGAGAAGGGGAGCTGGGGGTGCTGCTGTGTAGCACTGAAAGAGGAGCTGCCTCAGGGTTGCCTGTTTTGTGCCCCTGTTGAATCCACATAACTTTTCTGAGGGGTATTGGTCCTGGGTAACCTGAATCCTGGCTGCTGGCATTAAAGCCTGCTCGTGGCCATGGTGAAGAGCTTCCTGGCCTGCTCCGTGTCCTTTGGAAGGTGAGAGCTCAGCTGGCCTGGCATGGAGCACTGCAGGGCAGAGCTCCTCAGCCCTCTCCCCTCCTGGTGGGGGTGAAAACCCTGTGGCCCTTGCTCCCCTCTCATTTGGTCTCCCTCCCTGTGAGGAGGCTGCCCTGATGCCAGCAGATCTGTCCCTAAGGCCCATCCGCTCTCGTTGCTCAGACAATCGCCTCCAAGGCTACTGAGCCCAGAGCTGTTCCTGCTGTAACCCGAGAGCTGACGTCCTCCAAGGACTCCTCTGCAAGGCTCCTGCCCTCCTCCCTGCGTAGTGGGAGCCCTGCCTGGCAGCAGGCGGATGTGGGCTGACTCCTGCTATTGAGTTGCTTTGGGAACTGTCAGACCCGCTTGGGTGCGGGGTCAGCTCCCCGGAGCAGTGCTGGGTCCCCGTCCACGGCCTGTCCAAGCGTGGCTCTTGGCTGCCGGCGCTCTGAGCGCTGCTGGGCTCTGAGTTAATGCTTTTATTTTAGTAGGTCAGTTGAGCCGTGGCCTTGTGCCTCCCCTCCCCCTGCTGACACATGACTGCTATAATCATCTCTGGGCTTGTTTTTCCCTGCAGCCGCCCCCCCCTGCCCCCCCCCCCCAAATTACGGCAGGAGACTCCGCACTCGACAGGAAGCTACGTCTGTAGGGGATCCCTGATGGCTTCCCAGCCCCAAGCTTGAAGCTTGCAGCCTTGAGCACCAGTGCAGCCTGTTCCCATGCTAGAGGGCGGCTTAGCTGCGGTTTGACCCTGTCAGTGCCTCAGTGCTGGACTGCTAGCACAGGTTTTTGGGGTTAAAATCCCATTTTTGTGGAGAGAGCCACAAAGTTGGCCTTCCTCCGTCCCCATGCTGCACCAAGCTGTGGCTGTCACTTCTGGGATGCTAGCAAAGTCTAGGAGATAGGATCAGGAGGGCCCCCAGGGTTGTCGTGGCCCTGCCTGCCTGTGCCAGCTTCGTCTTCCCTGTGCCTCTGCTGGGTACGTTGCCTGCCCGTGTGCCATTTCAAGCAAGGTGGCTACGAGGGTGCTGCACCGGGCTGGCTCCCTCTGAGTAACTCCTCTTCCTCGCAGGACATCAGCAGCTCCATGACCAATAGTACAGCTGCCAGCCGGCCCCCAGTCACCCTCCGGCTTGTGGCCCCCGCCAGCCAGTGTGGCTCCCTCATTGGAAAAGGAGGCTGCAAGATCAAAGAGATAAGAGAGGTGTGTGTCAGCTGGCTCGGGGCAGGGGGGATGCGTGAGGTCTGGGTGTCTCCAGGAGCGCGGCAGAGGGGCGAGTCCTTGCGCCCGCCCCCAACCCGGGTAGCATTGCATAGTAGAGATGTAGCATCATTTGGTCTTTTTTTAAAGAGCTCCTTGTATTTTTAGTGCTTGTGAAACTGAGACTCGGGGCAGTGTCTGGCATGGGGCAGACCCTCCCTGCCCTGGCGCTGTCCCCTGGAGCAGGATGCCTGGGTTCCTGTTCCCTCTAGGCTCTGATTCCCTCCCCCACCTTTTTCCAGCTGGCGGAGGGGGAGAATGTGTGCTGTGAAGCCTGCAAAGCCCTCAGCTCTCTGATAGGAAGGCTTGTAATGCCACTTAGCGCTGGGAGCTGTTGACCCTTGGCTGCCAGAGGATTAATTCTGTCCAGCTCTGCTTGCTGCGGAGATGGACTTGACTTGGGTTACAGGGAAAGGCTGCAACCCAGTTCCTGCTTTTCTGCCCCGAGCTCCTGATGACCAAATTATTTCCAGCTAGGATTAAAGAACTTTATTTTGGAGAGAGGAGGGGGGCAGTTTTGGCTATGTATAACCCAGCAACGGTGTTTGTTGCTGAGGCCGTTGGGCGCAGCGAGGTCACAGCCCTCCCCAAGTCTGACAGTCTATTTTTAACTGTAAACTTTGCAGAGCACGGGGGCACAGGTCCAGGTGGCAGGAGACATGCTGCCTAACTCGACCGAGCGAGCCATTACCATCGCTGGGATCCCACAGTCCATCATTGAGTGTGTCAAACAGATCTGCGTCGTCATGCTTGAGGTAGGGCCTTCCCCTGGCCCCATGCTGAGGCTCTTTTCCCCTAGGGAAGCCTGTGAAACAGAGGGTTCCCTGCTGCCCTTGTCTGGCGGCAGCCATCATTGCCTATAGAAACTGCTTAGGAAGGAGAAAATGCTGCTGGGGGATAAAGGGGTAGTTGGGGATTATAGCCTCATTCAGGTGAGGCTTGGAGGTGTCCAGCCAAGCCTAGACTGGGCAGAAGCTGCTTAAAACCAGGGTCAAGCCAGTCCTTTAGAGCCTCTCTGGCTACACTTGCTGCCCAGCAGTGACCAGTGGTGACATCCAGCAGGAGTGTCCTGCTGTCCCAGAGCAGTGTCCCAAGCCTCTCTTGCACACTGCTCTGCTGCTTTCTGGGTGTCTTCCCTTGGCTCTATGCCCAGGATGGGGTGGAAATGGGGTTGCCCTGTGGCATTCTGCTCAGCCCAGGCTCTGTGTCCTCCTAAGCGGCTGATTTAAAAAGCAGAGTGTTAGCATGTGGGTGCAGCCCTGCTTGAGTCTGGGGTGGGGATTGTTGGTGCCGGCAATGTTTGGTGTCTAACATCTCTTCTCTGCCCGCCACCCAGTCTCCCCCAAAGGGCGTCACCATCCCCTACCGACCCAAGCCATCCAGCTCTCCTGTCATCTTTGCAGGCGGTCAGGTAAGGCTTCTCCTCTGCTTGTGGGGTGCGGGGTGGGGAGAGGAGGGTGTCTACCAAGCTGCCACACTGCCAGCGCACATCAGCCGCTCTGCGTGCCTGTCACCCACACCGCTTCCCCTGGCGTGGAGTGGCTCTGCTTGGCCTCAGCCTCCCAGAGCCCGCTCCGAGCTTTCCTTGCTGAGCTCGCTGAGGGATGGAAGAGGGCAGAGGTGGGGAAGGGAGTTAAAGGGGCTAATCTGGGGAGGGAGGTGGGGGGTTGACTGTCGAACCTGGAGCAACCAGCCAAAATCCCAGTGTGATGGTAGGGATGGGAATCAGACCAAGACTCCTGCTGCCAAATCTGGTCTCTGCCCTTCTCTGTGGGGCTGGCTCTCGGAGGACTCTGTGCTACCTGTGTGGGTGACTGGCCCCAGAAGGTTGGGGGGTGTCTGCTCTCTGGGGTGCCAAGGCTTAGCCTGTGCCTTGGGTAGGATCAGGGTGTGGAAAGGCCTCATCTCGCACAAAGGGAGGGCATCAGATAGGAGTAGCCATCAGGTAATTTGGGATCTAGTCCCTCTTCTGCTGAGCTGATCGGGGAGTGTTTCTCCCCTCCTGCTACCCTGCCTCAGGGATGTGCTGGCAGCAGGTAGCTGGCTTGTGCCGCCCCATTGCAACAGCCAAGAAGCAAGGTGCTGCTGTAGCTGTTACAGACAACAGGGCTCCTTTGGGATCCTGTCTGCTGTAAAGCCTCAAATCTCCTTGTCCCCTTGGGGTGGGGCCAGCTGGGTGTCCTCGTCTGTGGTCCTCTCCAGGCTGCTGGGCCGGTAGGCGAGACAGGAGGCTCAGGCTGGGGTGTGGGTCGCTTGCTCCCCACCCTGCGATTCCCAGGGCTGCCGTAATGCTTGGAGAAACATGGCGACTTGCACTCGAGCGCATCAGCTGCCTTCGTGCTGTCAGGGAGGTCCCTCCGGGATAGGCTGCGCAGAGCGCAGGCAGCCCCGGAGCCCCTGGCCAGCCTGAGCACCCAAGCTTGTCTTGCTGACAAGCAAGATCCGGCGTTGTTGACCGAGGCCTCTAGGCCATGCCGGCTCTGTAGGCAGGGAGGGGGTAGCTGCTGACGGCCTCCCCGAGAGCCGAGCCCGACTCCTTTGTGCGTCTTGGGCCGGCCTGCTCTTCCCCTGCCAGGCTGGCATGCCACGCTTGTTCAGGGATGGACCTGTTGCTGTCCCCTTCCTTGCCTCGGCCCCCCCTTGCCCTCCCTGCCTTCTCCTTCCCTCCCCGAACCCGGTCAGCCCCCCCCAAGCGGAGGGCCGTACCGCATGGTCCCCCCCCCCGCAGCGCGGGAGCAGGCTGCCTTTCCCATTAGAGCAGTGAGGAGCAGGCTTCTGATGGCCACGCATTTCTCCCTCCCCTTCCCTTCTTCTCCCCCCCCTTCTCTTCCACCCCTCTCCCCTGGCCCAGGGCCGCAGGCAGCCCGATGCAGCCGTCCGGGCCTGCTCCTGGTGGTGTTGTGCTCTGTCTCGCAGCTCAGAGTCGTGCGTAGAGCAGGGTTAGCCCTCGAAAGCAGAGCTAATGTCGATGTGACTTTGGTGTTAGCGGAAGGTTTCGGATTGACAGCCCTGGAGACTGAAGTCCTCTAATTTATCCACAGGACAGGTACAGCAGCGGCAGTGCGAGCTACCCCCACACCGCCCCATCCATGTGCCTCAACTCTGACTTGGAGGGACCACCTCAGGAGGTGAGAGGGGAGTTCAGTCTCCACGGCCCGTTCAATCCTTGGCCTCTCTGAGACTGCCAACAAGGGTGGCATCCCCGTCCCCGTCCCCAAAACCGTCACGGTGGCTTTTGTGCTGTGGACTCCTGTCCACTGGGAACTGGACTCTGAGCCCACCAACCTCTCCTCACGCAGGCCACCCGGCAGCCACTGCATGGCAACGAACTTGGGCCAATTCCAGCCTGGGCTGCAGTTCTTCCGGTGACCTGGAAGTGAGGCTGTGTACCCCCCTCTCCCCTTCCTATCCCACCCCCACTGCCCGGCCCCCCACCTTAGCCAGCCAGGCCCCAGCCAGTGACTCGCCCTTTCTGGGTAGCTTCAGGAGGAATCTGAAGTCTGTGGCTGTTTTTTTTTCAAGTCAGGGAATTGGCAGGTCAGGCACTCAGCCTTGTTACCCCCCGAATGCCTCTCTTTGCCTTGTCTAGCATCGGTAGCCAGCTCCAGCATTACCTCTAGCTTGCCCGGTGACGTTTTCCTAGGCGTGCGGAGTGACGAGAGGACTCGGAGCGGGACTTTTGGGGGGCTGCTGGGCCGGGGAAGGAGGGGCCGGGAGCTAGCAGGGCTGGCGGGTGTTGGAGATCTTCCCCTGTCGGCGAGGCGGGGGGCGCAGGGCTAGAAGCATTGTCGGACTCCACCACACCATACATCTTCATCAAGATCCCAGCCGTTCTGTTTGTCTGCCACTTTTTTTGGGGGGGACGGCGCCATACTGTCCACTCCCTCCCTGTAACTGCCACGTAAGGCCAATTTGAGTAACCTCCCGTCTAGAAACTGCTTGTTACAGCATTATCCGTCCCCTGCCTCTCCCTGCCCCACTTCCCTCGCCCCGGAGAACTCTCCACCTTGGCTCTCTGACTTCCTGGCTAGTTGAAATCTGTCTGTCCCTGGGTGGCTGTCCAATGGTTGTTAATAGGACTGTTTTCCTCCTTTTGTAGGCCTATACCATTCAAGGACAGTATGCCATTCCACAGCCAGATGTAAGTTTTTGTTTACAACTTCTTGTCTTGAAATCCACCCTTTTTCCCCCCCTTCCAAAATTTTCTCTGTGCTTTCTCAACTTGAGCCGCTAGCCGTCAGCTTGGGCTGAAACTCAATCCGATCCGAGCTCCCCCCCAAAAAACTCACCTCCCCTCAATTCGCCCTCCTGCAGCCAACTTCACCCAGTCTCAGATCTCTCCTTTCCCCCCTTCTTTCTGACACTTCCCTCCTCCTTTTTTTTTTCTTTTTTTCCTTCCCTGCCCCACCTCTCCCTGGCTTGGCATTTCACATTAGCTCTAGCTTCCCTCCCCCTCTTGAATTTGGCATGAAGCCCGTCAAGAGAAAACAAAACAGTGCATGAGGGTATACTGTCATGGTGGTTCTCCTGGGGCAGGGGACAGCTGGCCTAGCAAGCGGTCGCAGGTGGCAGCAGGGGGGGAGGATCCAGCTCAGCTCAGACTGATGCCAGCCTGCTGGGGCCCTTTGGAAGAGGGAGATGACAGTCCAGGCGGTGGCCACTGCTCCTGTGGGTGCTGTCCTGGCTCGCTGTCGGACACCTTCCTCTGTCACCCTTGCTCATCCCTTAGGTTCGTTGCAGGCTTGATGGGGGCTGAGGTCTGCTTCTGGCCCCCTTAGAGCAGTGAGGGGGGCTGTGATGCGCCACGCCAGGGAGAAAGGGGCTAGAAAAGCTGGGCTAAGAGCTACTCTGGGGGCTGAACCGAACCAGGCTCCATCCCAATTTCCCTTTGTGACATCCCTCTCCTCCCTCCTGCCCCAACCTCTGCTCCCTGCATGGTGTGGTGTGAGCACCCTGCAGTCTTGTCTCCTGCTCCTCTCTGCTTGTCTCCCTGAGCTCCTCTCATAACTCCTTGCTGCTGCCCTCGCTTCACCGGGGGTGGGCACAGCCCCTTCAGCCCCTTCTCACCTGGCGCCTTCCTCCTCTCCACGTGGAGAGCGCAGCACTGCCTGCTGCCACCCTCTGTGCAGAGGGCTGGGGGGCCTGGTGCCACTCGCAGTGTCTGTGTTGATGTGCGTGCTGAGAGTCCTGGCCCCGTTGGGCTTGGGAAATGGCTAACATCAGCCTTTTTCTTTCTCTTCCCTCTAGCTGACCAAGCTGCACCAGTTGGCAATGCAACAGTCACACTTTCCAATGTCTCATGGCAACACTGGATTCAGTGGTATGGAAACTCCTTCTCTCTTCTGTATGCTAGCGTGGGCCAAAGGCCAGCCCGTGAGCTGCCGCTTGGCTCCTCTCGCGCGCAGCCTCGCGGCGGGGCCTCCGCTCGGGTCTCGCTCGCTCAAAACCAAACCCCTCAGAGCAAAACCTGGCCAGGTAACAATTTTGTTGCAACACCTCTGGGGGTGACTTGGTACTGACCTCTGTGAGTCGCGGGGGGCCGCAGAGCATAGAAAAGCACCGAGCAGGCAGGGCCTCCATGCTGCTTACCTTCCTCTTCACCCCATCCTCCACAGCTCTGCCAATGCACCGGGAGACCCCCAACCTGCAGCACCCTCTCTCTCCCCTCCGGCTACTCCAGTCCTGAGCAGGCAACTGTTGAGTTGTACCAAATTTGCTGTAGATTTGCTAAGATGGCTAAATATCCATTTGGGGCTCTAAACTTGAGACAGCCAAACTCATTGTCACTTGTATCTTAACAGGCATTGAATCCAGCTCTCCAGAGGTGAAAGGCTATTGGGGTAATGATTAAAAAACAAAATCTGTAGTTATTCTATTGTGTATTAATACTGACCGGGGTCTCGTTCTCCCTGTTAAATGCTGCCCGCCTTGTGCACGGATGGGAGGGGAAGGGGGGGGATCAAGGGGAGCCTTAGAAGGGCTGGAGGTACTGACTGCCTTGGTTGTACAAGCCCCAGAAGAAGTCAGCTGGACTCTGGACAGTGGAGAGCAGGACTCGTTGGAGGGCTCAGTGTGTGATGCTCTGTTGGAAAGCCTTGGGCATGTGCTAGGCCCCTCGCTTTACCCTCCGCACGCCGCGAAGGGGGAGCAACCCCTTGCCCTAGGAGTTGCTGGAGCAGACTGCATACAACGGCTGAGCTGCTGCCGGTGGCAGAACTGCCGCTTGCGCTGAAGCCTGTCCCGGTTGGTGGCGGGGAGCATTGCGTTAACAGCCTCGGCCGTCGTCGTATCTCTAGGCCGTGAGCTGCTTCATCCCTGCTGAAACCCTGGGGGTTAGGTCTTGAGGCTCTTGCTGTGACGCTGCCCCATACCGGGAGCCAGCTGGGGGGGGATCCGCTTAGCACACGTGCTTTGCCCTGTCCTCCATGGAAGCGGCCTCGCAGCGCTCGTGCAGCCGGCTGGCGTAGCACTGCCCTGCCGGGGTCCTGGCACGTAGGAGGGAGGTAGCATAGCATTTCGAAGCCGGTGATTGAGCCGGTTCCCTTGGGCAGCGGAGTCGAGCACCCGAATGGAGCCCCCGCAGTGACAGTGCGCTGCTCTGGTACTGTCCTGACCGGAAGGAAGATCCTGTGGTGACGTTGTGGGGGCGGGGGGGTGGGGAACGGCAGGGGAGAAATTTTGGGGGAGGGGGTTGGGAGGAGGAGGGGAATGGGGGGATTGGAGTAACCTCACAGCTTGCTCTGCCCTTCCCCTCCTGTTAAACCATCTTCAAGGTAGCCATGAACCCAGCAGCAAATGCTGGCTTGACTGCTCCGGTCTGTGTGTGCTGCGCCTGCTTTCCGCACTGCCTCCCGCTGAACTTGTCCTGCTTTCTGTCTGTCTTTTAGCAGGTTTGGATGCGTCTGCTCAAACCACTTCTCACGAACTCACCATTCCAAATGATGTGAGTACTGACCCTGCGGAAGGGGAACGACTGTGCAGGCGTGAGCCGTGCACCCGCCAGGCTGCATCGAGCCTGATCTCTGCGCTAGCAGAGCAGAGCCCCTGCTTTGCAGCCCAAGTTGGGAAGGGTGGCTAGTAGAGAGCTGTCCCCTTGTCCCTGTGGGTCACTGAGATCTGCTCCTCTCTGGGGGAGATCTAATGAAACGGGGTGTGAGGTTGTCCGTCCCCTGCCAGAGCAGGGTGTGCATTCACCCCTCTGCTTTGAAGCTGCGGAGGGCTTGCAGCAGCCCCCGAGGCTGACAGCTGCACCCCAGACCAGCTCTTCGGGCTGCTTTGAGTCACCTCATTCCTTTTCCAGCCAGCATTATGGCAGCAAACTCCTTTCTGGGCTCCCTTAAAACACCCTGGGAGATCCCAGCCCTGACTTAGCAGGCGACAGACCTGTGACCTGGTAGCAGGGGGATTAATGCAGCCAGCTCCTGCCTGCTGCTAATGAAGCCATTTCCTCCCCCAGTTGATTGGCTGCATCATCGGGCGTCAGGGCGCCAAAATCAATGAGATCCGCCAGATGTCTGGGGCGCAGATCAAAATTGCCAATCCAGTGGAAGGATCTACTGACAGGCAGGTTACCATAACTGGATCTGCAGCAAGCATTAGCTTGGCCCAGTATCTAATTAATGTCAGGTAAGTCTCCGGGCGGCAAGGCTCTGCGTGCCAGGGGAAGGGCATGGGAGGGCTGCTGCAGGGGCCTCAGTGCCTTGGTGTACCACTCCTAGGGCTGGGGTCACCCTTGTGCCCCGAAGCGTGAGGGGAAGGGGTTGCTCTCCCAATTTTCCCCCTTCTGTGCCCTTCCTTTCCCCTCCCTGTGCCTGCAGTCCTGTTTCCCTGGTGCAATTGCTTTCTGGTCTGTGGCAAGCTATAGTTTTAACAAATCTGCTTGGAAAAGGGTTTGCCACAGGGCTGGGGGAAGCTGGTGGCCTCTTTAAAGCTGTGCCTGGCCCTGTCAGGCTCTCAGCAGTCAGGGCTGTGGTGTTAAGTCTGTGGCTTGCGTGGTCAGGGCTTTCTGTGGGGTGACAGAGCTCCTGGGTGCCTGCTAGCAGAGATTGGGGCAGGGCTGCCAGTTCAGCCAGATCGCGAGTGCCTCCCAGCGGGACGCAGTGACCCTGGGAGCGCTCGGTGCCGGCAGCGCTGGGCTCCGCTTGGGCTCCTTGCTGTTCTCTGCTGGTTCCCAGAGCAGGTGGCGAGGTGGCCTGTGGCCCCTCCAGCCCATAAGCGTGACAGGCTGGCTCTGAGGTCCCCGGCGAAGCAGCAGCCAACAGGGGACTGCTGGCTCCCCCGAGGACGGGAGAGAGGCAGGGCTGGGTGGCGGGGCCTGGACGCGTGCCCGCCATGCAGTGGTGCGCTGCAGCTGGGCTGCCGCAGTTTAGCTTTAGGGCCCGACTTGGACTCTGCAGGCTGAGGGCTGAGCTCAGCGCTGGTGGCGCCTCTGGTTCAGCCGGGGAGGGGTTGATCTGTGCACTGAGACCGCCAAGTGTGTATCTAGACCCGTCGTGCTGCGTGTCAGGTCCTCGTCCCCTGCAGCAAGCTGGGCTGCGAGGGGTGTATTTCCCCCCTGGCATCTGGGGGGAGCTTTTTGGCACAGCCTTGCATAGAGGGCCCGATTCCCCTGCCCGGCTGCTTTGGGAGGCCGCAACTGCCCCGGGGTACAAAACAACCACCCTGGTGTCACCGGTGGTGTGAGTGGGGTTAGGCAGCCAGTGGCCCAGCGTTCTCCAATTCCTCAGCCCGTGGGGCTTTGGATGAAGGAGAAGAGCCGGGGAGAGTGCCGGCCGCAGAGCGGCATTGCCTGGGAGCGCAGCTGTCCTGGCGTGGATCTGCTCCGCGTGGCACGGGGGGGTTGCCAAGGCTGGGGGCGGGGTCT